GCCATGCCTCATCTTATTCGTTTTTGTTAATAACGTTTTGTAAGCTAGTTTGTCATTGAATACTGTTTTATTGTTGTTGTGCATTTTAATTAAAAATAATGAATCCATCTTTTTTTTTTGTCTTAAAACGTGAAAGGTGTATAGATGTAAGCAAAAACAGACAATTATATTTTATTGTAAAACCTGGCAAGATCGTGAAATCGAAAGTGAAAGCATCAGAAGCCCGGCTTATAACATGTCAAAAGAGGAACTCCCATTCACAAAATTAAAATCACAAATAATACTACTGATGAAAAAGAACGGGTTGAATGTTAACTACTTTCGTTTCCATATAACTATAAACTACGATAAAAGTTAATCAGCGTGCATTGATTAACAGCATGTTGTAGCTCTAAAAAAACCGTGCTTGTGCAGCCAACTGAAAAAGAGTGAGCAGTGGGAAGAATGAGTCTGGAGCCCTGAATTGCCCAGCTCCCTCGGTCAATGATCTACCTGCGTTCAAAATTCTCTGGCACCGCCCCTGTTACATCAATGTATTTTTGGAAAGCAAAAATTAAGTTTGTTCAACTCTAAGCCCAGTCCCCAAGTAAATTAGGTTATTAAATAAAAAACTAGCAAAACGAGTTGCGCGGTGTCCCCACCACTTTTCAAAGCAAAGTTACGCCACTGAATACCATGGTGTAGCCACTAGATGCCTCTATAGCTCTCTACAGTATATTATACAAGGATGAGCATCCTGTAGTTTCTGAGAACAGTGTTGTCAAACACAATGAATTACTTACTGTTTTAGGTTTTGATTTTGTATTTATGTTTAGACATTATCAAAAACTACTTTTTGTCAACTTCTACTTTTTTATTGAAATGTTAATGTGACAGTCTGTTTGTATTACTGTTACAGTCAATCTTGAACCAAGAGAAAACATTTTGCTACCCATAATCTAGCCTTTTCAAATCATGTTTACAGTTTGTGTCACAAAAGTCACCATGTCTCCTACTATTCCCAAAAAAATAAAAAAAATCCAGAACGTCAATTTTTTTGCTCTAAAATTACTGAAGACTACAGGAGGCTAGTGGCAACAGCATTCTTGCAAAGAAATGTTTACAACAAAGAAATTGTTCCTGTCACTCATTAACATTGCTAATATTGTTTTTTTTAAAAATTATTATTAAAGGAGATGATTTGGAGAGTACCCAAGTGGCACCTGTGAGAAGTGGCTCAGACACGGAGTCACAGAAAGGCACTGCAAGCAAGATAACCATGAACCATACTGGAAAAACAATATGAAGTATTAACACTGGAGGAAGCAAAACTAAAATTAGAAATAGAAAAACTGGAATTAGAGAAAACTAAGCTAACATTTGAGCTACAGAAACTTGGACATGAACTGTAGATTTCATTGACTGATACCCAAGAATTAATCAATTAACTACTTAATAATAGTTAAATTAAAGCGATGTTTGTATACAAATATCTTTAAGTGTATTAAATAGATTTGACATGTATTTAAGTGAATATTAAGGTAGTTCTGTTTAAATAATTTTAAGATTATTTTGAATTTCAGAAGTTACTACTGATCCTCTATGATTTTTTTGTAAATATTGGTTTGATTAATAAATTAAAATTTGTCAAGTGCATTTCAAAATAGTAATTCTTTCAGTTTTCTCAATCAAACAGAGAAAATGTTTTCTACAATCATTTGTCGAATATAACGCCCAGATCCATCTTCATCTCCTGCCTCAGTGATCTCCAAAGCTGGTTCATCAAGCACTTGGTCTTCCTCCAGGTCTGGGAGTGCAAGATCTCTATTAAAAGCAAAGTGATATTTGAAGTTGAAATTATGGCTAAAATCGTATTTATTACCTTGCTAAGTTGTGTAAAACAACACATGCACAGATTATGTTGCAAACCCTCTCTGGTTTAATTCTGAGCTCTCCATGCAGACAATGAAACCTTCGTTTCAGGACTCCAAAACACCTTTCAATGACATTCCTTGTTTTGGCATGGGCTGTGTTATACCGAGTTTGAGCTGCAGTGACTGGATTCAAAAAGGGCATGAGAAGCCAGGGTTTTAGTGGATAACCAGAGTCACCTAAAACCACCCCTTGCAATTCTCCTCTCTCAAATGCATCATGAATTTGGGAATTCACCAAAATTCTTGAGTCATGGGTTGATCCTGGCCAGCGAGCAACACAGTTGAACTCTCTTAGTTTGGCGTCACAGATTGCCTGCACATTAATACTGTGGTAGCCTTTCCTATTGACAAACAATGGCTCATGGGTTGAAGGTGCTTGAATCATAATGTGTTCCATCAATGGCCCCTATTACATTAGGAAATCCGGCATTGTTGAAAAACAAACAAAAGTCTGGCCACATTTCTGAATCTGGCACAGCTGGCAGTTGGTTTCCATGGCAACATAGATTGTAAGGAAAAGTTAGCCACGGGGCAATCAGTCTTACTTTTTAGTCTTAAATTAGACCAATCTAAGATTTTATGCAACTGGCTTACAAAGTAAAGTCCAGTCTTAAAAAAAAAAATGAGATGACTAACTTGTAAGACTAGTCTAAAACAGTTTTATGCAACCGGCCCCTGGACTGAACATTTCAGAAGACTCTATTCAATAAACGAAACAACCCTCGCCCAAAAACATCTGACCTCCCAACTAAATAACCTGGAATACACTATAAAAGACCAGCTAAATCATTTAGACAAGCCCATAGAATAAACTGAACTGACAGAGAAGATGAAATTCCTAAAAAATAAGAAATCAAGTGGCTTGGATGGAATATCTAATGAAATGCTGAAACACAGCAGCCCCAAACTGAGAGTTGCTATCCTGACATTATTCAATCTCTTATTAAAATCTGGACAATTTCCTGAGATCTGGAAAGAGAACGTGATAACCCCAATTTTTAAACAAGGTGAGAAGTACAACCCAAATAATTATAGAGGCATCACAGTGAGCAGTAACCTCGGGAAAATATTCTGCTCTATTATTAATGACAGATTAATTCAGTTCATCTAAGAACACAAGATTTTAAACAATTGTCAAATTGGATTTATGCCTAAACAGAGAATTTCAAATCGCATTTACACACTCATACAAAAATATGTTCATCAAACAAAACAAGGAAAAAATTTTGGCTGCTTCATTGATTTAAAAAAAGCCTTCGATTCAGTATGGCTCAATTGACTTTTTCTAAAACTAATTCAAAGCGGAATAGGAGGAAAGACATATGACATAATAAAGAACAAATGCTGTGTCAAGATCAACGACAGACAGACTGATTATTTCAGTCAGACAAAAGGAGTCCGTCAAGGCTGCAGCTTCAGCCCGACTCTTTTTAATATCTACAGTATATTAACGAACTGGCATCAGCACTTGATAAGTCCTCTTGTCCTGGTCTGACCCGCAAGGGCAGAGAAATCAAATGCCTCCTGTATGCTGACGATCTTCTGCTCTTGTTACCTCATGAAGAAGGGCTACACCAAAACACCAACTCAGTTCAACAATTCAGTTAAGACACGCAAAAGTTAAAGAAATTAGAAAAATAACCCAGGAAGAATACATCCATGATTGGCAGATCAAAGTAGCACAAATGAACAAATTAAAGTACTTCTACAGATTAAAGACTGGTTATCAATTGACACCTTTACTTGATCAAAATTAAAGACAATGGTCAGAGAACGCTTCTGACGAAGTATCGACTGAGTGAGCACAGTCTGTGTCTGGAGACGGGCCGACACAAACAGAGCTGGAGAGCCAGAGAGCTACGACTGTGTTCTCACTCATAGAGGATGAGCTGCACTTCCTCACACACTGCAGCAAATATAAACACATTAAAGACACTTATTTTACCCAAATAGCTCAAATTGTGCCTGAATTCCAGCAAGCGAGCCACATTGACAAACTCTGTTATATTCTGGGAGAGAAAGAAAAGTGTATCCACCTAATAGTGTATCCTGTATGTATCCTCCTGCCATATTATGAGGGACAAAGACTAAACCACCTTTTCTTTATGTTTCTTTATGATCTATATGCCTGTATAACTTGTTCACTGTTTATTGCTTTGGCAACATTGTGCTGTTCCACAGTCATGCCAATAAAGCTAAAAAAATTAATTGAATTGAATTGAATTGAGGGAGAGAGAATCAATGAACCTGCGAACCGAGACAGTACCCCTTCCCCTAGGAGTGCCTCCTGGCGTTTCCTGTTGCTGCTTACTCATTTATGAGAAGGACCCAAGTAGAGAACACATGCGCAGTTACTTTTTTGGTTGATACAATCCTTACGTGTGTAAGTGTATAATTTCCTTTTCACTATTTGTTTCAGTTTCATTTAAATTTGTAGTTAAAATAAAACTAAATAAATATATATTCAAGTTTAGAATTAGACAGCCTTTGGAGAGCCCAGGCACATAGGCTTACGCTGGTAACTTATCGGTGGATAAGGTGTCAGATATATATACGTCAATATAGGTGTCAGACTCTGGTCCGTGTTTTGTGTGTGTTTTGCTCCTCATGTGCCGTTCTGTGTTTCCTTATTTGGTAATTTTCCTGTCCTTGTTTAGTTTAATTATGATTCCGTTCAGCTGTGTTCTATTAATTACCTTTTTATTTAAGTTCCTGCCTGTTCAGTTTGCCTTTTGTCTGGTCTACTCGTTGAGTGGACGTGTTTCCTGCTGTCATCTGTGTTTATGTACCCTGTGTTCCATGGATTAAAGACTGTTTCATATATTCCTCGTCGCCTCGCTCCTTAGTTGCGGTTATCCTCGTGTGTGTGTCGTGACAGAAGACCAGACTGAGACAGTAAGCAGCGCCCTTTCTCCCGTGTTTTTATTTCCGTTTTTTGTCATCTTTTGTTTTCCCTTTTCTTCTCCCTGACATATCTCAGTATGAAGTATGAGGACCGCCCCCACTGTCCTGCGCGCCGGCCGCGCCATTGTCATGCCCACCGGCCACGCCGAAGACAAGCCCACCAGCCGCTCAGAAGTCAAGTTCGCCAGCCACGCTGTTGTCATGCCCGCCGGCCGCGCCATTGTCATGCCTGCCGACCACGGCTCACTCAAGCCTGACGGCCGCTCCGATGACAAGCCCGCCGGCCACGGCTTCCACAAGCCCGCTGGCCGCTCCAGAATCAAGTTTGCCGGCCACTCCAAAGTCAAGCCCGCCGACCGTGGCTCCCCCAAGCCCACCAGCCTCTCCTGTGTCGGCTCCAGCCCCGGAGCTCGCTCCAGTGTCGGCTCCAGCCCCGGACCTCGCTCCAGTGTCGGCTCCAGCCCCTCAGCTCGCTCGTTCGCCAGCCACGCCGTTGTCATGCCCGCCGGCCGCGCCATTGTCATGCCTGCCGACCACGGCTCACTCAAGCCTGACGGCCGCTCCGATGACAAGCCCGCCGGCCACGGCTTCCACAAGCCCGCTGGCCGCTCCAGAATCAAGTTTGTCGGCCACTCCAAAGTCAAACCCGCCGACCGTGGCTCCCCCAAGCCCACCAGCCTCTCCTGTGTCGGCTCCAGCCCCGGAGCTTGCTCCAGTGTCGGCTCCAGCCCCGGACCTCGCTCCAGTGTCGGCTCCAGCCCCTCAGCTCGCTCCAGTAAGGGCTCCTGCTCCCGAGTATAGCCCACAGAGGGCTACTGTTCCCGAGTATAGCCCACGGAGGGCTCCTGTTCCCGAGTATAGCTCATTGGATGTTGTACGGCATGGGAGGCGCCTTCCAGGAGGGGGGAGATATGTCAGACTGTGGTTCGTGTTTTGTGTGTGTTTTGCTCCTCATGTGCCTTTCTGTGTTTCCATATTTGGTCATTTTTCTGTCCTATTTTTTTGGTCATTTTCCTGTCCCCGGAATTATGATTCCGTTCAGCTGTGTTCTATTAATTACCCTTGTATTTAAGTTCCTGCCTGTTCAGTTTCCCTTTTGTCTGGTCTACTCGTTACGTGGATGTGCTTCCTGCTGTATCCTCTCTCCTTAGTTCCGGTTATCCTCGTGTGTGTGTCGTGACAATAGGTAAGTTCATATAAAATATCTGAATTTTTTCACACTTTTCATTCTCACTAATTCAAGTTTTTATATTAATGAATCTCTGAAGGGAACCGACTGTCTTCAAAAAAATGTTGATGCCATTCTCATATTAACTGATAAAGCAGCATTTATGAGCTTTTCTATATAGCCGTTACCGGGGAAACCACTATATTTGTGATGTTCCAAAAGCACCTCCTGCTGGCAGAGAATGAATGTTCATTTTCAGTAATCCAGTCTGCAGTTTTTGTTTAGACCAATGCGAAAATCCACCCACATAACCCCATTTTAAATTAATATAATACTTTATACTTCTGACTCATTCCTTTTCTTAAAAAAAGGTTTAAAGTCTCAATGGTGAGGTTTATCATTTTATAATTTATTTAGTTTTTTTGTGAAAACCTGTATCTCAACTGTAAATCAATTGCACACTATAAAAAAGATGGTTATTTTTCAGCTTTGTTCAGTTGAGGATACTTCTCTCCTCTTCTCTACTAAGTAACTAGTATATTAAATGTATAATCCATATTGTTAAGATTTTAAATTATTACTTGCATAAACTCAGACAAACAAACAAACAAACATAAAAGAAACTTTAAAGCTATTATTTTTTACATTACATTTTCCTTTCAAGATTGCGAATGGCTCAAAGTGCTTTTGGCTTTCAGAAACATAACTGCTTTTACATTTACATTTATCATTTAGCAGACGCTTTTATCCAAAATTACTTACAAATTAGGAGAGCAATAGAAGACCAACAAGAGAGCAACAGTATACAAGTGTTGTGACAAATTCTCAGTTAGTCTAGAATAGTACACAAGGTATTATTATTTTTTAAATATATAAATTAGAAAAACAAATAGAATAGGTAAGTACTAATATTAATTGGTCAGGTGCTGACAAAAAAGATGGGCCTTTAGACATTTTTTGAAAATGGTTAGACAGCTGCTCAAACTGAGATAGGTAAGTCAATCCACCAGCTGGAAACGGTTTACTCAAATGGAAGAAACCAAACAGATACTCAGTACTTTTTGGTATTGAAATACTATTTGGTATTTAAAGAATCACATTTAAACTTGACATTCTTATTTTTATTATTTCTTTTATATATTCTTATACATATTTTCAGGTATTTTAAAAAAAAACTCAAATTAACTTTACATGGCCATAGTTATAATATTTGGGGGGGAAAAATGTATGTGTGCTTCAGTACTGAATAATATGAACTCTGCTTTATGAACTCAAACACAGTTTGCATTTTAATACAGGTATATTTGGTATAAATGGTTTCTGTACCCAAACATCACAGTTTTGGCTTTTACACAGAATCTCACAATATATTTTCAGTACATCATTAGACAATAACGTATTACATCTATAAAAACATAATTTAAATATGTATTCCACCAAAAGTTAAATCCTGAATTCCTTTGATAGCTATTTTATTATTTGTGTATATATTTATGCATGTAAATTTCTATGCTTGTGATTTGAGACGCAGCAGCGTGTGAACAAGACTTTTATTTTGGTATGGCGATGTGACGTCACGAGGCTGCGTCTGTTGTGCTTTGGCTGAAGAAAGGTTTGTGTTTTAAGCAAGTAAGGTGTTTAAATCTATACAGACCGTTCAGTTATTTTTTGTATATTTTATAGTAATAGCAATTTATTATTAGGTGCTTTATCTATCATTAATTTAGTTTTTGTGCGTCCGCGTATGAGTAATGGAAAGTAAGTGCGTCTCATTTTGCTCTCTATATTTTGAATCAGGTCGTCGTGAACACGATTTCGGTCACTGGCAAGAAGTGATGGAGAAATAGATGGTTTTCGAAATTTGAAATGAATGATTCGCTGTCTCGACGCGCTTGAATCACCGCACGGTTAAATTTACATTAACGTTACATTTAGTCATTTAGCAGACACTTTTATCCAAAGCGACTTACAAATTAGGACAATGGAAGCAATCAAAATCAACAAGAGAGCAATGATATACAAGTGCAGTGTGTAACAAGTCTCAGTTTGCTTAATGCAGTACACGTAGCGGTTTTTTTTTAATATAAAAAGAAAACCGATAGAATAGAAAAAGATTAGAGCAAGCTAGTGTTAGAGACCTTTTTTTGCTTTTGGTAATTGTATAATAAATAAAAAGAAAACAAATAGATAGAATACAAAAAGATTAGAGAAGCTAGTGTTAGTTTTTAAAGAAAACAAGCAGATAAATGAATAGAGTGCAAGTCTAAAAGGGGCAAGTTTTTTTTTTTAAATGAAGAATAGAATTAGAATAGAGAGTGCTAGAGTTAGAGGGCCAAATAAAGATGGAAGAGCTGTGTTTTTAGCCGATTCTTGAAGATGGTTAAGGACTCAGCTGCTCTGATTGAGTTGGGCAGGTCATTCCACCAGGAGGGAACATTTAATTTAAAAGTCCGGGAAAGTGATTTTGTGCTTCTTTGGGATGGCACAATAAAGCGCCGTTCACTTGCAGAATGCAAGCTTCTAGAGGGCACATAACTCTGAAGTAATTAATTTAGGTAAAGGGGTGCAGAGCCAGTGGTGGCTTTGTAGGCAAACATTAATGCCTTGAATTTTATGCGAGCAGCTATTGGTAGCCAGTGCAAATTGAACCCGATCTCATGAAAGTGCGTATAAATAGTACGCCAAATAAAAACGAAAACTCGTGGTATTGATGTGCAAAAATTGACTTTGGCGTGTATATGCTACGCGATGGGTAGGTTTAGGGTTAGGGTTGTGGGGTAGATGCGTATCATATGTATGCGAAAACAGCGTATCATATGTACGCCAACAAATTTCGTATCTTATGGACGCGAAAACTGCGTATCATATCCACGCCAAAGTCCATTTTTGCGTATCAATACCACGAGTTTTTGTTTTTATTTGGCATACTATTTATACGCATTTTCATGAGACCGGGCTCGCAAATTGATAAACAGAGGTGTGACGTATATTCTTTTCGGCTCATTAAAAATGTATCTTGCTGCTGCGTTCTGGATTAATTGTAAAGGTTTGATAGAATTGGAGGGAAGACCTGTTGACGACACGTTGTTCCAAAAGTGTAAATGCACAATGCAGTGAGCACACAAACGTGTATGATGGCAAGTTTTACAGATCAATAATAAAAAAAAAAATTCATAAAAGTGATTTATTAAGTATAATCTATTAACCAATAAATATCATGCCATGTAATAAATAAGACGTACCTTTCTGTTAATTATTCTAATCTTAAACAAAAATTGCCAAAACACACAGAAAAAAAACTCCAGATGAAGCAAATGAGATCCATGTGACTTTCTAAAGATGGCGTTTATTAAAGAGGAGAGTGAAGACGTGAAGATTGAAGAAGCATTCAGAGTGAAACAAGAAGATGCTGAGGAACAAACAGGTTGGTTTCCATTCTCAAAAGTTAATTTAGTCATTATATCTTATTAAAATGTTGGAATTTATTAAAGAGGAGTGTGAAGACATGAGGACTGAAGAAGCATTCAGAGTGAAAAAAGAAGATACTGAGGAATGCACAGGTTGGTTTCATTCTCATTTATATCTTATTAAAATGTTGCCCTCTACAGACATTTTAACTGATATTGATATGATACTAAATTTATATTTTTGAAGAATGTCATATAAGTGGCCTAACAGATCATTCAATGTAGTGGTCACCATAATTTAGGGCACACCCTGGAGCACACAGTGACAACAAACAGAACAATCCACAGATAAAAAGCTGATCAGTTTATATTTTTTACAACTGCTAACTTGTATATAAATCTCTTAAAGTCCCCCTGTAGTGAAAATCAAGTTTTTTTATGTTTGTCTTTTTTTCACATATTTGTCTATGTGGTGTTTTTAATATGCTTATAGACAAACTATGTGCCAATCTATTAATCAACACCATTGCTGAGTATATTCTCCTTAAAACTAGTTTCCCAAAGGCTGACCCAGAAATGCAGTTTGAAACGGCCCTCGGTTTGCTACGTCACAATCCAATAACCAATCGCGTCAAGGGATCGATTCCTATCACTAGTATGCAAAATATACCAATACCAGCACAAAACCAAAAATAAATTAGAGCAAAAAACCCATGAAGCTTGGGGTTTATTGTGAATTTAGAACCGCTAACTTGCATTATAACCCATGGCAACAGTGTAAAAGTAGCCCGGAGTCAGACACACCTGTCCCGCGTCGGCATCTGCACTTCACACGCATTGCTCGCGGGCACGAATTAAGAATCACAAATGGCTGCATTCGAGTCTTCAAGGCATTTTAGGACACAACATCGTCAAGTAAGTAATTAACGAATGTTACAGTATTCACTGTAGTTGTCCGCTAGTAAAAATATAGTTTTATCAGTCATTATCTGTGTATGCCACAGTGGCGTTCCGTCCATATAAGCTGCGAATGCTCCACATACCCAGGCTGTCTGAGAGAATGAGTTCAGGGGCTAATTAATATAAACATGATTATAAGTTGATCCCTTGTAATTTGAGCTGTGACTTAAAGTGTTGAGAATAAGCATGTACAATTATTTATTTGAAAACAACGGCAATTTTCTGTAAATCTAAGTCAGTTGCGGTTGCTTCCGGGCGAGCGGATTCTCCTCCGCTCTATTGCTATGACTCTTCAGGATTATAGCGCATTCTCAGTGATTTGCTGGTCTGCTGGAGATTTCATGCGCGAGGTAAGCTGTCCGCAAAGCGCTCGCCCAAGTGGAAAAATGCGCTGTTGCTGTCAGATCTCAATTGCCGAAACTCGACTAAATCATATGAAAAAAAAGACATTATAACTGTATACTTGTCGCTTACAATTAAAGTCCTTTTCTGATTTTATTGTTGTTTGCAACATTACTTGGCAATATTTTAAAGATGATATTATTATTATTTTGTTTTTTTTATTTAATTTTATGTATTTATTTAATTTTATTTATCAAATTATTTTTGTATTTTACATGGTCTATTATTGGAGTAGTGTCGCCCGGGTGGGAGTTTACTGGGAATAAGAATGAATGAATGAATGAATAAATAAATCATTCAGTTGATGCAGAGACATATAGTGCGGGGGAATCCCCCATCTCCCCACCCTCTGAATATATCATAAAGTAACTACGTTATTTGGTGGTTTTTACTCGGAAAAGCAGCTGTTTTCTAGCATTCGAATAACTACCTCAAACTATAGAAGAAGGATTAGAGATGAATTTCCTTTACAAATAAATTAGGAATGTGCATACTTTTAAATCAACACCTGCCACAGTGTTTTCCTCTTTGAGTGTGTCTTAAAAGCGATGAGGGGGGAGGGGGGCTTAATCTTATCACTCAGTATACCCGGTTAAAAAAAGTCTCCTCTGCAGTTCAGTACCGCTTTAGAGTGGGCGGGATTATTCACATGTCTTGGCAATATTTTAAAGATGATATTATTATTATTTTGTTTTTTTTATTTAATTTTATGTATTTATTTAATTTTATTTATCAAATTATTTTTGTATTTTACATGGTCTATTATTGGAGTAGTGTCGCCCGGGTGGGAGTTTACTGGGAATAAGAATGAATGAATAAATAAATCATTCAGTTGATGCAGAGACATATAGTGCGGGGGAATCCCCCATCTCCCCACCCTCTGAATATATCATAAAGTAACTACGTTATTTGGTGGTTTTTACTCGGAAAAGCAGCTGTTTTCTAGCATTCGAATAACTACCTCAAACTATAGAAGAAGGATTAGAGATGAATTTCCTTTACAAATAAATTAGGAATGTGCATACTTTTAAATCAACACCTGCCACAGTGTTTTCCTCTTTGAGTGTGTCTTAAAAGCGATGAGGGGGGAGGGGGGCTTAATCTTATCACTCAGTATACCCGGTTAAAAAAAGTCACCGCTCGCCACTAGTATGCCATTGTTTTGCGTTTACTACAGTTAAGTGGATCAGGAGGCGCTGGCTGGTGTGACTTATGGCACTTTTCCACTGCGTGTTATGACTCGGCTCGGTATGGCACGGTTCGGCTCGGTTTGCGTCTCCTCTGCAGTTCAGTACCGCTTTAGAGTGGGCGGGATTATTCACATGTCGTTATAGTTGCGCTGCCTCTACTACCACGACTCCTAAAAAAAACATTTTCATTCCGCGTCGCCCTATCAAGCTCTTGCTGGATCCACTCCTCTGCTATCGAGAGGAACGTCTGTTCTTCCGCAACAGACAACAAAACTTTTTGGTTGTTAAAAAAAGGTGCGCTTGTTCAAAACAGTTGCGTTGGATCCTTCGCTGGCTGTGCTGATTTAAATCTAGCGGTTCTTTTGTGTTTGCGTTGCAAGTTCAGTGATGCAGGTAGTGACGATTCTCTCCGGCCAATCCGTGATCAGCAGAGTTTACACATCACGTTTTGGTAACGGTACGGTTCACTTGGAACCCAAACCGAAGTGGTACTAAAAAAAGTACCAGGTACTGTACCCAGTGGAAAACCCCCAAAAAGTGAACCGTACCGTGCCGTACCATGCAGTGGAAAAGCACCATGAGTAGAGTCGGGACTAATTTGCATATTCATAGATCAGCGTATAGTAAATGAGGCAAGGGTGTAGAGTTACATTCAAGCTATTTTAAGGCATGAGAAAATTTTCACAAGAAAAACATTTAAATATGTCATTTTGATGATCAAAGATACGTTTTAAGGGATAAAATATTTGACTACAGGGGTACTTTAAGTACGATAGATTTGTGTGTGTATGGAACAGAACTCTCGAAATTGTGATGATTGACACCATGATAACCATATCAATGACCTGGCATCTCATGTGTTTGGCATTTACTACTTTTGACCAAAGTAATATTACAATGTAGAAGACTTACAGTATATTAAAACATGTTGCTATGTGCCGTAAAACTGGGGTTAACTTGTATTTTTGACAATTTTTTCCTTAGGCCTAATGGCACTGAAAGAAGAGAGTGAAGAACTAGATAAAATGGAAGAAAAGGATCCATATGAAAAACATCATGACTTCATAACTAAAGAAAAAAAATGTAGTTACTCACAGACTGAAAATACTTCTT